CATCTACATATCATCAAAAATATATTTGACTTAATGAATAAAAAACACAAACTGTATAACGTACGTTTTTATGCGATTAGTAAAATTCAGTGTTCTAAAAGAAGGGACCTGTCGTTTTGTCGATAGTAAATGAAAAGCAACTTTGTATATTACGTATGAAAAATATATATATTTTTAAGATGTACTTCATGGAAGTAAATAATTATATTGTGTATCAGATAATTTATAAAGGGAAAGAACATTCTGATGTATAATCTTTTTAATGTATAGTTAACCTTTAATTCTGAATAACTTTTCCTACCACAATCCCATACACCAAAACTTAAACTTATATGTATAGAGCAGCCCGGTCCTCCGGGCTGCAATACTAATTAGTAAAACAGAATCTGATTGACTGAGAAGACCAAATGACCGTCGTGTCAGTCCTGCAAGATGATTGAATTATTCCTACCTCTCTGGCTGGCTGAGATCCAACATCATAGAAAATACTACGTTATGTTCACCTGCACGTGACTTTACAGGTGAACATTAGGATTATTTTTTTTTCTATACTAAAATTTTTCTTTATCGGAAGAATTACTTAAGGAAAATTAATTCACTTGCACGCAGGTGAACATAGCATTCAGGCATATAGAATCAAAATTATAAATGATTTTGCCTCTTTTGAAGTACACTTTTTGCTCGGTGAGTATTGTACTCCGGTCCTCAGGAGGCAGAATCATCGTACTGACCTCAAAAACAGCAATAATTGTAATTTATTGTATAGTTTTCAACCCCATCGTGACGGAATTACAGCCTTTTTAATTTTTAAGGGAATCTAGATTTAATCACTTGGTCATCCGCATCTTTAACGCTTGCGCCCGCGTGGTGAAGTAGAGCGTTTTCTCTAGAGTCGTCTAGTAAGGAGTTGATTTTTATGTCGCGGGTTCGTATATCCCATTGCGGGAAGTGGAGACCGGTTCTTCGGATGAGACCGTATAAACTGAATCCCGTGTCGGAGTAGGTGCTGGGACAAAAAACATCCCTCACTGCCTCAAAGGCCGTAAGTGCCGAGTACAGGTCTAAATTTGCGCCCTTCGCGGTAAGTGATGGCGTCTCAACATGAGTGAAAAATTCTCGTACGGACATTAAATAAACAAACAACTAACCTAAACACTTGCAGATATTGAGCTGCTGTTTTGATACGTGAGTTTACCTTAATGAAATATAGATCAAGTAAGCATCTTGTTCCGTTTTAATGAATTTTTTTATGGAATAATAGCCTTTTTAGGTCACCTGAGTCACTCAGGTGACCTATTGTTATCCGTTTTCGTCCGTCGTCGTGCGACGTGCGTTAACATTTGAACATTTTTAGCTTCTTCTATGAAACCGCTCAACCAATTTCAACCAAATTTGGTATATAGCATCTATGGGTGAAGGGGAACAAAAATTGTGAATTTCATGGTCCCTGCCCCACTTGGGGCCTGAGGGGTGGGGCTAAAACCACCAAAATTAATGCAATCTTTAAAAATCTTCTTCTTTACTCCTGGACATCAAGCAGTCAAACTGTTGGTATGATTGTAATAAGCATTGAGCCCTCTACCAAAATTGTAAAATTCATGGCCCCTGGGTCAGGGGTTCTGGTGCTAGGGCGGGGCTATATAGATCATATAGTGAAAGTGCATTATTTCTTTGAAAATCTTCTCTGCTCCTGGGTATCAAATAAACTAACTAAGTACATTTATGAAGAGCAAGAGTGCCTCTTCCAAAATTGTGAATTTCATGGCCCCAGGGTCAGGGGTTCTGGTGTTAGGGCGACGTTCTATTGATTATATAGTGAAAATGCATTAATTCTTTGAAAATCTTCTTCTCTGTTCCTGGGTATGAAAATAAATTAACTAAGTACAAAGTTATGATGAGCAAGAGTGCCTCTTCCCAAATTGTGAATTTCATGGCCCCAGGATCAGGGGTTCTGGTGTTAGGGCGGGGCTCTATTGACTATATAGTGAAAATGAATTAATTGTTTGAAAATCTTCTTCTCTGCTCCTGGGTATTAAAAAAAGTAACTAAGAACATAGATATGATAAGCATGACTGCCTTTTCAGAAATTCTTAATTTCATGGCCCCTGGGTCAGGGGTTCAGGTAATAGGGCGGGGCTCTATTGATTATTTGCATTAATTCTTTGAAAATCTTCTTCTCTGCTCCTGGGTATTAAATAAACTAACTTAGTGCATAGTTATGATGAGCAAGAGTGCCTCTTCCAAAATTGTGAATTTCATGGCCCCTGGGTCAGGGGTTCTGGTGTCAGGGTGGGGCTCAATTGATATATATATATATAGTGAAAATGCATTATTTCTTTGAAAATCTTCTCTCCAGTGGATATTAAATAAACGAAATACATAGTTATGATGAGCATGGCTGCCTCCTCAGAAATTGTGAATTTCGTGGCCCCTGGATGAAGGGTTCTGGTGTTAGGGCGGGGCTCTATTGATTATATAAGGAAAATGCATAAATTCTTTCAAAATCTTCTTCTCTGCTCATGGGTATTATTCAAACAAAGAAAGTGCATGGTTATGATAACGAAGAATGCCTCTTCCAAAATTGTGAAATTCATGGCCCCTAGGTCAGGGGTTCTGGTGGGGGGGGGGGGCTCTATTGATTTTATAGTGAAAATGCATAATTTCTTTCAAAATATTTTTTCTACTACTGGTAATAAAGCAAAGAAACAATGTATAGTTATGATGAGCAAAGTGCTTCTTCGAGAATTGTGAGTTCATGGTCCCTGGGTAAGATGTTCTGGTGTAAAGGGGGGGGGGGCTTTATTTATTTAATAATATAGTGAACATGCATTTCTTTGAAAATTTTCTATGCTTCTGGGCATATTCGAGGCAAACAGAGTAAAAGTTTTAATATGCAAGGGTATTTTTACCAGAATTTTGAACACCTGGACCATTTAGTCAAGTGTTCTGGTCCTGGACAGGGTTCTATGAACTTGTATTCTGCTGAGCAAAGTTATTCCCCTTTGCCATTCACCTTTGATAATTAATCACTGTATATAATGTATTTGAAAGGCAAATAAAATGATGATATTTTTCAGTTCTGTGCCTCCGTACATAATGCAGTTTTAAATGTCAAAGTAAGCTATCAACTGTTATACCTAGGTCACATTTAAGTCGATGGTCGGGGGACCAAATTTTTCTCATATCGTCGGCTGAAAAACATGATCGGCAGACATTAGTATTGGGCGACGCGGAGTAGTCACATTAATTCCTAGAAACACCAATGACTTTAAAAGTTTAAGTATTTATAAGTCGGCCAACCGTCGCCCGATCATCGAGCGCTGCGCCGCAGTTTGATTTTCATCGTCGGCATACATTTACGACAATCCAATACCTAAATGTCGACCGACCGACGCCCGACTTAACAAACTGTCTGTGGATGGTCAACGATGATCGAGGATTGGTCGACGGACTATTCAATGACTGCTTCAATTGATGAAATCGGCCACCGACATAGAATTAAATTATAACTGGGCCCGACAGACACAAAATTGGTCGGCCGACATAAAAAAGTGGTCGAAATCGGGCAAGACAACAAGCCGATGAACTGCCGACTGTCGTCCGAAGAAACCAATTTTTGCCTAGAAATCTGTATGCCGTTGGTCGTTTTTGGAAATGTGATTGGGGTTGTAAAGTCAGCGATTCTCGATAGTCGCAAAACTCCATTTATTATTTAGAAGACCTGTTAGCAGTAGGCAATAGTTCATTTGTGTAATTAAGAAAAAAAATACTGCTTAAAACCCTTTCACAATTGGCGCACGAGCATTCTGCAACACTGCGATCGGAATGATTTAGCTTCGCACGAGCTCGCATACATTGCACGATGTCTCGATTTCGTTGCATGCGTTTTAGTGATCGAATCAACCCTCGTCAAAATAGTGGACATACACACTATTCAGCCGCGACCGAATGCGATCCAAATTATCGCAATTGCAACTCGCGAAACGTTTTACAACGTTTTATGTACTCGCAAGAGTGATGCACGATTTTGCTGTCTATGCGTGTGTTTTGCGACCCTGAGACTGTTGCTCAACATGTCTTATGTAATCTTGCAACGTTTTACTAACATTGCACGATTTATCAGTTTCAATTTGCCTTGCAAATATTATATGTATACGCCATATATATTAAATGTATACACCAATACGATATCACACCGCCGAAACACCTTGCTGTCATAATAATACAGTCAATAGTTAATTACTCAATCAAAACGATGTCAATATTAAGAAGAAATAAGAAAAATTACAGCACTGAGTCAGGTCCTCTAAATTTAGAATTGCGTGGCTTATGGGTGTTGCCTATATGCACTCGCACTCGCATTCGTACCATGGTACGCATTATATTACAAGGCGCTTGTAATATAATGCCCGTCCAACTGCATTGGCGCACTTTCAATCGTCTGATCACTTGTTCACTCGCGCGATCCATTATCTTACAACATTCGCTTTCATTGTACAGCAGTCTCATATAGAGACAAATTACGTCGCAAGATTTAATGCGTTTGCATGCGCAACGGTCGCTTTAGGTCTTGCGAATTTCGTACTATGCGATTATTTCGGCAACAGTTTACGATCCAAATCAAAATTTTTCGGTCCACGAATATTTTGTCGTTTCTGTTCGTTCGCTGTGAAAGGGCCTTTACCCTCAATATTTCTTGAAAGAATAAACCATAAAAATTTAACTATCGCAGATTTCTTCATTTTGAAATAAAAGACTGACTTAACATTTTAATTTTTTAATTCTGCTACGAATAAAACAATATAACTGGACTTTTTTCTTTCAGTTCAATTTTATATTATATTATTCAGATAACTTACAATAATAATTTCTGCCTTCAGAAAATGATTTACTCGCTGATATAATGTTTGTAACAATTCCCTCATATGTAAAGCAATGGGTTCAGATTGAAAGGTTTATTGATACAAAATTTATGTTTGAGAACTCCTAATTCTTAACAACTAAATAATTTTACCTGTTGTTGGAATCGAAGTAGTTGTTGTTCCAGAGGTAGTCGTAGTCATTGAAGGAGTTGTAGAGGTAGTTGCAGTACTTGTTGTTGTTGGTTCTGTAGTTGTTGTTGTTGGTTCTGTTGTTGTTGTTGTTGGTTCTGTTGTAGTGGTTGTTGGTTCTGTTGTAGTGGTTGTTGGTTCTGTAGTTGTGGTTGTTGGTTCTGTTGTTGAGGTTGTTGGTTCTGTAGTAGTGGTTGTTGGTTCTGTAGTTGTGGTTGTTGGTTCTGTAGTAGTGGTTGTTGGTTCTGTAGTTGTGGTTGTTGGTTGTGTAGTAGTGGTTGTTGGTTCTGTAGTTGTGGTTGTTGGTTGTGTAGTAGTGGTTGTTGGTTCTGTAGTTGTGGTTGTTGGTTGTGTAGTTGTGGTTGTTGGTTCTGTTGTGGTAGTTGTTGGTTCTGGAGATGTGGTTGTTGGTTCTGTAGTAGTGGTTGTTGGTTGTGTGGTTGTGGTTGTTGGTTGTGTACTAGTGGTTGTTGGTTCTGTAGTTGTGGTTGTTGGTTCTGTTGTAGTGGTTGTTGGCTGTGTAGTTGTGGTTGTTGATTCTGTTGTAGAGGTTGTTGGTTGTGTAGTGGTGGTTGTTGGTTGTGTAGTGGTGGTTGTTGGTTGTGTAGTTGTGGTTGTTGGTTCTGTTGTAGTGGTTGTTGGTTGTGTAGTTGTGGTTGTTGGTTCTGTTGTAGTAGTTGTTGGTTCTGTAGTAGTGGTTGTTGGTTCTGTAGTGGTGGTTGTTGGTTCTGTAGTTGTGGTTGTTGGTTCTGTAGTGGTGGTTGTTGGTTGTGTAGTTGTGGTTGTTGGTTGTGTAGTTGTGGTTGTTGGTTCTGTAGTTGTGGTTGTTGGTTCTGTTGTAGTAGTTGTTGGTTCTGTAGTTGTGGTTGTTGGCTCTGTAGTTGTGGTTGTTGGTTCTGTTGTTGTTGTTGTTGGTTCTTTAGTGGTGGTTGTTGGTTCTGTAGTGGTTGTTGTTGGGTCTGTAGTGGTGGTTGTTGGTTCTGTAGTGGTGGTTGTTGGTTCTGTTGAAGTAGTTGTTGGTTCTGTAGTTGTGGTTGTTGGTTCTGTGGTTGTTGGTTGTGTAGTTGTGGTTGTTGGTTCTGTTGAAGTAGTTGTTGGTTCTGTTGTAGTGGTTGTTAGTTGTGTAGTTGTAGTTGTTGGTTGTGTAGTTGTGGTTGTTGGTTGTGTAGTAGTAGTTGTTGGTTCTGTAGTGGTGGTTGTTGGTTCTGTAGTTGTGGTTGTTGGTTCTGTAGTAGTGGTTGTTGGTTCTGTAGTTGTAGTTGTTGGTTCTGTAGTTGTGGTTGTTGGTTCTGTTGTAGTGGTTGTTGGTTGTGTAGTTGTGGTTGTTGGTTGTGTAGTAGTAGTTGTTGGTTCTGTAGTGGTGGTTGTTAGTTCTGTAGTGGTGGTTGTTGGTTCTGTAGTTGTGGTTGTTGGTTCTGTAGTAGTGGTTGTTGGTTCTGTAGTTTTAGTTGTTGGTTGTGTAGTTGTGGTTGTTGGTTCTGTTGTAGTGGTTGTTGGTTGTGTAGTTGTAGTTGTTGGTTGTGTAGTTGTGGTTGTTGGTTGTGTAGTAGTAGTTGTTGGTTCTGTAGTGGTGGTTGTTGGTTCTGTAGTGGTGGTTGTTGGTTCTGTTGATGTGGTTGTTGGTTGTGTAGTTGTGGTTGTTGGTTCTGTAGTAGTGGTTGTTGGTTGTGTAGTTGTGGTTGTTGGTTGTGTAGTAGTGGTTGTTGGTTCTGTTGTAGTGGTTGTTGGTTGTGTAGTTGTGGTTGTTGGTTCTGTAGTTGTGGTTGTTGGTTCTGTAGTTGTGGTTGTTGGTTCTGTAGTAGTAGTTGTTGGTTCTGTAGTGGTGGTTGTTGGTTCTGTAGTGCTGGTTGTTGGTTCTGTAGATGTGGTTGTTAGTTCTGTTGTGGTGGTTGTTGGTTCTGCTGAGGTGGTTGTTGGTTCTGTAGTTGTGGTTGTTGGTTCTGTAGTGCTGGTTGTTGGTTCTGTAGTGCTGGTTGTTGGTTCTGTAGTTGTGGTTTTCTGTTCTGTAGTAGTAGTAGTGGTAGTGGTTGTGGCTGCTAAAAAAATAAAGCATCTTTAATTTTTACACGTAACGAATGTGTTTTGTATGCATAATACATGAAATTGTATTATCGTCGCATTTAAGTAACAAACACTTATAACAGAGAATTTCCAAGCAAAACCAGTACTGGAAAAATTAATTCTGCTGCCTGAAATATCAGTTCTACTTAATCGTATGTTGACATGCAAAAGAAATACGATATTTATACTGCATTTTTTAATGAATAGAAATATTAGTGCAATTCAAGATTTGTTTTTGCGATACAGTTTGGTCCGTTAAATAACGCTTTTCTTAATGTGGTGTTAGTAAAAACAATAGGATCTAAACTCGTGAATACTGTTATCAAAGAAATTTACGTGTAGGGTAATTTTTCTTAAATACGCGACAAGAAATCTCTCAAGTAAATATTCTTCCGCACATCAATATATTTTATTCAGTATATTGTCAATCATGATATAATATTGGCATTGCGGAAAAAACCCATGCGTGTGGATTTTGTAATTAACAACACATCATCCACATTAACAATAATTACTGTCTCGTTAAAGTGCACGTGGCATAAACACACTTGCATTGCCGTTTTGTTCACAAAATCAAATTTCAATATTTATCGTGCAGATTTAAACTTACATGAGCATTCTTATTATTCAATATTAACAGTATTCTTCATAACCTTACATCAGACACAGGCTTTATATTTGCTCATGTATGTTTTAGTGGGTGTGTATGATTTACTTGCACTGCACACATCTCTGAATACTAATATACAACACTGGTGAGTTGGCTTTTCTTTCCTTTAAACCTTCTTGATTATAGCTTTAATATCTTTTATCAATAGACATCAAATTTCGCGCTTTTTTTCAAATATTAAGGATAAATTTTACATCGCAAGGTGCAAGGATGTGTGTCAATCAGATGCGTTCCAAAATTCGTAGTTTTAATTATTTTTTAATAAAATGAGTTTCTAAACACGCTTTTACATTATATCGATTTAACAAGCTCCTGCAACATTTGAGACCTGAATTTTATTTAAAATTTTGATGGATATAAACTTCAAATCTGTGCCCATGCCTCTTTAAAAAGGCTTAGACACAGATTCGAAGTTAATATTTTCCCAAATTTTCTGTATAATATCCTGACTTATATGTTGCTAAAGCATTTCACACGGAAATATAATAAAAACTTATTTTATCTAGAAATTGTTGAAACTACGAATTTTGGGACGCGTTTGATTGGCACATCCTTGCACTTTCACAGAGTAAACTTTATCCTTAAAGGGGCATAGACATAGATTTGATGTTAATATTTTCTCAATTTTTCTGTATTATATCATGACTTATATGCCATGTGCCAATCAACGCGTCCCGAAATTCGTAGTTTCAACAATTTCCAGATAAAATAAGTTTTTTAAATTATATTTCTGTGTGAAATGCAACTTCAAATGTATCTTCAAATCTGTGTCTCTAAGCCCCTTTAAAGTTTTCTAAGCATATTTTAGGATTAATATTGGGGATTAATTAATTTCTCGTTAAAATTATCACTATTTTTGTAAACAAACTTATTATTGAAGGAGCTCAAATGTTCACCAGTTACACCTTTTTTGTAGAGAGGGAGCATTTTCTGGAGGACAACGTTTTTCTTTTTCCTGAAAGGGTTTTCAATCACTCAATTTTCAATCGTCAATTGTCGGTAGTTTGATATAGAAAGACAGCCATACACTGAATTTCTCATACTTCCCAATTGTGAGAAACTTGCTCCTATCACCTTTCAAGATAAGGGATTTGTCTTGTATATCCTAGAAATTTTTATAATGTTTGTAGCTGTAAAAATATTTTTTTCAATACTGTCATGTGACAAACAGCTGATACAAGTGATGTTGCTTAGGCCGGACTCAGCAGATACCTGATAGATACAAATGCAGTAAGCAAAATTCCCATTTGTCAAAAATCCTACATTTTGAAAAGCTACATACAACTGTATTTATATTGTATACATTTTCTTGCATTCTTGTATTTCCATAGAACGTCCTTAACCTAGCTGCCTTCATTTCACTATTTTTTATCGTCAAATATGGATACTTAGGTGCCTATGGTCATGTAACCTTGTTAGTTGACGCACCTTGGGATGCGTTGATGAAAATGCAGGTCAGGGTGACCTTCTTATATGAATTTTATCATTGTTCATTGATTGTTTTTTTACTTAAGGAAGAGCCATACTCGGGTAAATTTCTGACCGAAATTTTTCCAACTTTAAATATTATTTAACCAACGCACAAAACAGTGATGGGAAAAAGTCATTGTTTTCGTATTATTTATTTTAAGCAGTGCCAGCTATATTTCAACAGAAAATAAGGATAATGAAAGAATTACACATATTCATAGTTAAACGTGAATGATTATTTAGATGAAATATATTTATTTTCATTGAAAAAAAATCTTTAGTCATATGCAGTACACAAATGATGCAATACACCCTAGCTGTAAAGTCCGATTTGTCAATATTTAATTTTAAATATTTTGGTAAATCAGGAAAAAATATCATTGAACAAACAAATATCTTTATTTTCAATGATTTGACCACTTGAATCTACACTACTTGAGGTTTTTTCCTTATAAATATGACTAACCACGGTTTTGCTGTTCTTTGGAAGATTTTTCCTTTCTTTTCCTATTTAAATTTGATCGCCCACAGTGGCCCCGCCCTACCCCCAGGGGTCATGATTTAAATTTTCTTGAATTTACACTACCTGGGAATGCTTCCATATAAATATGATTAGAAAATACATTGCTGTTCTTGAAATTTTTCCTAATATTTCCTATGTTAAAATTTAATCACCCATAGTGGCCCATCCTACACCCAGAGGTCATGATTAAAAAAAAATTAAATCTGCACTACCTGAGGATGCTTCCATATAAATATGACTAATCATGATTTTGCTATTCTTGAGAAGAAGAATTTTAAAGATTTTTCCAATGTATTCCTAAATTTGATCACCCATTTTGGCCCCACTCTACCCAGGCGATGATTTGAAATACTTGAATCTATTCTACTCCAGAAAGCTTTGACATGTTTCATCTTTCTTGCAAGTGGTATTTCATCACAAGATTTTTCAATTACTCAACCCAGTTTTTACTATTTCCTAATTATCTCCACTTGGAACAGGATGTGACCCTTCATTTGAATATACTTGAATTCCCTTTACCCACGGATACCCTGTGCAAAGTTTGGTTGAAATTGGCTCAGTGGTTCTGGAAAAGAAGATGAAAATGTAAAAAGTTTACAACACGCCGACGACAGACAACGGACAAAGAGCTAAATCCACGAAGGGGCTAAATCGGCCTATTTTTTTCAGGAAAATTAAACTAAGGGGAAGAAGAAAATTAACAATAGAAATATTATCCTTGGGTATCAAACTTTTATAGTTTATGCCAATTTTTTTATTTCATGACGTCATATTTGTACAGAAAACGTCTACGCACGTGCACTTTGATAGTTTTTATCAAAATAAAGCATTTTTTTTGTCTTTGGTTCAAATTTTTGCTGTGGCCACACCCTTCGAACAAAATAAAATTTATACCATTGAAAAGAGGATTAAAATATGAATAAATAAAGTACATTTTTATTTTGTTCGAGGGGTGTGGCCACATCGAAATTAATACTTTTCGTTCGATTCAAATATCTTAGCACCGAGTCACACAGTGAAAATAGCGGGGATTACCCTACATTAATAGGAAAGAGAATGATTCTATATTGTTTTTTGTAAATATTAAAAAGTTTCGAAATGCGAATGTTATATTTATTATAAGTTATTTTGTGTTGTGGTGCAAAAAAGTACGAAAAACTTTCGCTAAGCATGACTGCCTATAGATGCAATAGTGTCGACATTTTGTGTACTATATACGTGCCTCAGTCCTGACCCAAGACTTTTCCTTCAAGTAGCTGATCTATATTTATCTCATCATTATGCTGAACTGTTTAAAAAAAAAATGCTATGTTCTCTTTTCCTCTGACAGCCTATTTATTTATGCTTTGAATTTGTTTTCCAACTCCCGGCTCCTCGTCACCATGGTCACTATGTAATCAAAGGGAGATCACCCGAGAAACATGTAGGCTACATCTTTATTGTCTCCTGAGTGGCCACGTCGGAATAGCCTAGAATATTAAACAAATTACATCGGATGCAACTACCAAGACGTATTTATAATGATTGTTTTGCCACCTTACAAAACTTAAATGTCGACTCGTGAAGTCTGCATCGACAGCATACAAATGGTTAATGTTACGCAAATAGAGTCTATTATAACTATACATGTATATTATAATTATAACCCGTACCCAACATGCGTTTCAGAAATCGCCAGTGGCATTTTAAGACAAAAGATTAATTAATATTTATTAGTGAAAATCTTTACTGATCCGAGACCTCTTAACATAAATTATGTTACGAAGTACTGAACCTAGAAAATTCGAGTTGACAAATCAAATAAACAATAGATTGATTTTACAGATCGCGTGTAATTTTTGTGATAGGCCTCTATAAGAAAAATGCCCTATATTGTATAAACGAATAACTTACTACCAAGGCTGTGACAACTCTTTATGGTTTTAAGTAATTTCAGTATCGCATACATGCTGTGACCTAGCCAACACATGAAAAAAAAAATGTCAAAGGGAGGCTATACTTGCTATCTCTTTCTATTTTGAGTTACTCCGCTTAAATGTAACAGGCCCAAGGGAGAGAGGGCAACCAAGATAAGCAAGCATACATGTAGTAGTGTAATTTCATAGAGGGGGATTAGAGCATTGATATAAAATAAGAAGCAAAAAAAAAAACTATTAAATTTCCAAAAAAAGAAAAACAAACACAAAAAAAACAGGGGTTATTGGGGGGAGAGGGGTTTCGGGATTCCCACCCTCACTCATTAAATACGTGGGACAGTTCGACCAATTACTGCTGCCATTTAAACAAGAAAGTAGTAAAGTGAATAAATAACA